TACAGTCACAACTCAGAAAATTGTGGGTTCAGATACACAAAACCACAATCAAACACATATTGCGGTAGAACATCCACATTTCCCAGTGCATATAAAAATTTTGTTTACACTATTCTGTAGTTTATTAAGTATGAAATAGCATATCTAAAAATACATAATTTAAAATATTTTATTTCTAAAAAATGCTAGCCATCACGTGCATCTTCAGCAAATCTTAATATTTTTGCTGGGGAAAGATTGAGCCTCGCTAGTAATGGTATAATGGTTGCTCACTGATCAGGATCGCAATTGCTGATGGTTGGGGTAGCAACAATTAATTTTGCAGCATCAGTTGACTCTTCCTTCCACAAAACATTTCTCTATAAATTGTAATGCTACATGATATCATTTTATCTTGTTATAACTTTCAAAATTGGAGTCAGTCCTTTCAACTCTTGGCATTGTTTTATCAAGTAAGCTTACATAATAGTCTAAATTTTTGTTGTCATTTCAACAATGTTAAATATCTTCACCTAGAGCAGATGCATTCTCAAAAAATCAGTTTCTTTGCTAATTTATAACAAGCAACTCTGATTCTGTAAAAGTTTTATCATGAGATAGCAGTATTTCAGTCAAGGCCTCACATCTAAACCCCTCCACTTAAACCCCTCAAAATCATACAGGAGGATTAAATTTATCTTATTTCATATTCCTTTTCATGTTGGTATTATATTCACCTCCCACCATGAATTATTATTGTTCTTTTTTTAAGATATATATATATATATATATATATATATATATATATATATATATATATAAAAGAACTGGGGTGTGATCCAGAGGTGTGGGGTGGTTAGAGGATTCACCAGAGAGAGTGGGGAGCAGAACAGGCAGATCTACTGAAATACACTGCTGAGGGGAGCTGTGGGAGCAGAACAGGCAGATCTGAAATACACTGCTGAGGGGAGCTGTGGGCGAGATAGGAGAGGTCTGTTGTACCATGTCAGTTAGCTCCCTGGTTGGGGATGGAAATCATGCTCCAGTGGCTGGTGATAGCTTGATAGTGCTATGTCTTTAACCCCTGTGCCACCAGAGGGGTCCAAATCATGATTGTCCTTAGTGGTATTTAGAATGTGAATCCTTCCCAAAATATTTTCACTAGACAGCTCAGTTCCATCAGAGTGAACTATGACAGGCTTAGTCTCATAAAATATATTTCTTAAAAAATAAGACTTAAAAGTCTAAATGACTGTTTGATGCATGGACTACACAATGGATATTATGTTAGCAGGCATGAAAATTATATTAATTTCCTTGTGTCAGAGCTCTTGGATAAGCAGGTACATTGCCAATGAGGAATAATATTTTGAAAGGAGTCTTTTCTGAGCGGTGGATCTCAATAGTGGGCTTAAAATATTCACTAGATCATGTTGTAAACAGATGTGCTGCCATCCAGGCTTTGTTGTTCCATTTATAAAGCAGAGACAGAGTAGCTTTAGCTTAATTCTTAAGGGCTATAGGATTTTTAGAATGGTAAATGATGAGCATTGGCTTCAACTTAAAGTCATCAGTTATATTAACCCTTAACAAAAGTGTAAGCCTGTCCTTTGAGGCTGTGAAACCAGGCATCAATTTCTCTCTAGCTGTAAAAGACCTGTGAGGTCTCTCTTTCCAGCATAAGGCTACTTCATCTGCATTGAAGATCTGTTGTTTAGTGCAGCCACCTTCAAGAATGATCTTAGCCAGCTCTTCTGCTTAACTTGCTGCAGATTCTCTATCAGCACTTGCTATGTCACCTTCCACTTTGATGTCATAGAAACTGCTTTACTAAACTTCATGAACTAACCTTTGCTTCAGATGTTTCTATTTCAGCTTCCTCACCTCTTTCAACCTTCATAGAATTGAAGAGACTTAGCGCCTTGTTTTGAATTAAGTTTTGGCTTCAGGGACTATTTTGACAGTTTTGATCTTCTACCCAGATAGCTTAAACTGTCTCTGAATCAACAATAAAGTTGTTTTCTTTTTTTTAATAAGTCGTGCAGTCACTGGAGCAACACTTTTATTCCTTCAAGAACATTCCTTTTGATTCACAACATGGCTATATGGTGCTAAAGACCTAACTATCATCAACCTATCTTCAGTTTCAGCAAGCATTCCTCTCTATGCTTAGTTATTTTTTGTTTTTGATTTAAAGTGAGAGATGTATGCCTCTTCCTTTCATTTGAGCACTTGGAGGACATTGTAGGGTTATTAAGTGGCCTCATCTCCATCCTGTTTCCAGGAATAGCATGGCCTAAAGAAAAGGAGAGAGGGGCTCCCTGGTGGCTCTAGGGGTTAAGCACAGCACTATAAAGCTATCCACAGCCTTTGCAGCACGGGCCAGGGAGCTACCCACATGGTGCAGCAGAACTCTTCTGTCTCGCCCACTGCTCCCCCCAGTGGTGTATTACTTTCAGTCTGCCTGTTCTTTTCCCCACTCTGTCTCTGGTGAATCCTCTCACTCCCTACACCTCTGGCCTGTACCCCAGTTCTTGTATGTATAAATAAATAAATGTTTGTATAAATAAATAATTAAAAAAAGAGGAGAGAAATGAAGAATTGGCAGTCTGTAAGTAGTCAAAACACTCTCCCTCTTCTTGTCTTTTTTTTTCCCCCCTTTGTTATGTGCTCCATTCCTTTGCTGGTGAAATTGAACCAGAATCCAGTGGACAGAAGGGCCGCCAATGTGCCCCTCTGATGGTCAGTACTGGGGTACAGAGTGCTTAAAAAGGGATCTGGCAAATATGTGGGAAAAAGATCGCTGTATCTCCTTAACTTGCAGTTCAAGATCATGAAATTGTACAAATGCTTAGGTCTCCCCTCCTCATAGTCTCACTTAAATAATAGAAATAAAATTTTGAATCCTGGTTCTTTGTCAAAAACCAAAGGAGAGGACCATCAAAGGGCGGGATAGCTAAACTCATGTGGAAGATTTAATGGACTATGAAGCAGAGAGACTGATGACACAGTACAGAAAGCCATGACCTAACTTAGCAGGAATGTGGATGGCAGCACAAGAGGAAGTTTACCTACCTTGATGGAGGACAGGAGTGGGTCTAAAAAAATGTGATATTTAAATCCTTCAAATAACCAATAGAAGCATGAAAATAGAAATGCAATTGTAAAAAAAATGAAAGGCATTACAATGTAAATTCTCATCAATTATAGCAGAAAGTCAATAGATAATGTCTAAAGTTAATACATCAAGGAGTAATGACATAAGGGAAGTATTTATAGATTTAGCTGTAACCACAGAAAAAATAAATATATAAACAGCCCAAAATGTTCTGGGAGGAGGTGAGTTGTGTGTCGGTTGTTTCTCATTATGTTTTTTTGCTAATGATTCTTTAAAAACATGTGAATATATAATATTAATAAAAAAGCCTTTTTTTTTTTCTTTTGCTCCACGTAGTTTACTGGCTCTTTAGAAATTATCTTCCTAACATCCTTAGGTCTATAGTTCATCCCAGGTCTAGAAATTAATTCAGCTTTCTCCTATACCCCCTTTTCTATTACCCGCCCCACACATGCACAAACAAACTATATACACTATCTTCCCTCTCAATGAAGTTGTCTTTCTCTGTAAGTTCATGTAAGTTCAAAGCCTTTCCTAGAACTGTTTCCTTGGTCTGAGATAACTCAGCCTTTTATTTTTTTTCTTTCTATTCAGAATTCAAGTTCTAGAATACAATCTATCTCCTCCAGGAGCTCTCTTTGATTTCCAGAGACAACTTGTCTTTCTTCTCTCCTAATTAATACTTTTTTATACTTCTCTCTGTCCAGTATCCCATAAGCCATCATGTATCTCTCTGTCCTCTTTCCATTTAGTTAAATTGTAAGTGCAAAAATCGGTATCTTCATATCTAGTGAAATAAGTTGCACATAGTAATTGAAGTAGCTGCTAACCATAGTAGTTATAATTGATTTTTGTTATTGCTCTTGATTCAGAAGGCATCTAAAGATGATAAAATGAATGCCCCAACACATTAAAGTGAATACCAACTGTTTATTTTTATTGAAGTGCCTATTATTACTTCTCTTGCTCAGCAAAATCATGAAGTAGTCAATATTTAGTTCTGTCACTATTTTAGTGCCTCTGCCCTCAATTTCAATTACTACCATCTCAAATTATGAAGAATAAGAAATCTAATAAATGGATGACCTAAATAAATGTGTTACTAATGTGTTAACTTTTTGAGTTTTGCACTGTAAAAAATCTTACCTAAATGCCTAACTGGAGGAAGTGATTTGTTTTTTGGTATTTTATTGTGAATATTATTAACAGTTTTACATATTTTTTTAATATTTTGACATCTTTGTTAATATTTTGACAATAGAAGATTATTTTACATCTTTGTTAATCATTTTACATCTTTGTTAATATTTTAACAATAGAGGATATCTCCCCTCAGATGTGGTCTCCATGGTTCTCCTACCACCAAAGCACCATTGTCCTCTACCATATTCCATTATGCTCCCCTAGCCTCCCTTTTTATCTTTTCCCTTCTTCCTTCCCCCTCTTCCCCCCTGCTTGGATGCATGAAATCTATGATCAGTTTTCAATGATCGAATTTAGTTTGCCTTCATCTGGTGGAAAGAATGATTGGAAAAAGGTAAAACTATAGGTCCCTAAGTAGTTTTTTCAGATCTCTCAGATCATCCCATGTAACTTTTATGCTAGGGAAATACATACATTTCCATATCATATATGGTATGATAAATTGCAAGCATATTAAGACAGTGGAAACTAATCTTTGCCTATCAGAACACAGATTGAAATCATAGTTATTAAGTATGATGTGTCTCTCTCATAGAAATTTGATTATTAAGCCCTGATCTTAGCTTGTTATTCTCTTTTCCCAGGTAGCCATTCCTCATTTTATGACTTCACCATCCCACCCCCCAATACTATCTAATCCTGAACTTTTCTCTGCATTCATATAAAAGGGCACTATAATTTTATTTTTCCTTTACTTCAGGAAATGCAACAATAAAACAGTCTCGATACAGGATTATCATCCAAGAAGCAGCCAATGGAGGCCAAGAATGCCCAGATACCTTATTTGAAGAGCGAGAGTGTGAAGATGTGTCATTGTGTCCCATGCATCGGTAATTAGTTACCTTTTTTAAGTAATCACTAGACTTCAGTATAAATCATGGCCTATTTTCTTTTCTATAATATGTGATTGTGTAAAGAAATAAGAATGGATAATGTTTATCTTTATATACTTTGATTCCCCCCCTCCTTCTCTGGAATACATTTTGATAGAATAAAGGATATGAATGTCTAACAGCAAAAAAGAAACAAACCTGTTTTGATTGTAAGTTAGCAACTGCAGGCAATCAATTTTCAGGATTAGGATCCAAAAAGATTCAGAATGAGATTTTTACCTGGAAAATACACACACACACACACACACACACACAAAAAAAAAAAAAAAACAAACCCACACACCCCATATTTATTTTACTTTAATCAAAAACTAACATACAAATTTGTATTTCTTCCGTAATTATTTTAATTAAGATATATTTTTAATTTTGTTAACATATGCACATTTGAGGAAACCATCATGTTAGAAAATATGCTTAACCTATGGGTAATTTTTTTAATGCATAGCTTTATGTTACCTGTGTGTTCCTTCTTGACATGTTGGTGATTAATATTTATAAAACACCTGAGGTCTGTGTGCTTAGTCATAAACTTCCACTCTACTAAGATTGGATCAAGTCATTGATTTTAGTACATATGGATTAACTTCACTGTTGGTTTTTCAGATCTGTGAAAAATACCCTGTGGTCTTAAAAATCATGTAACTGTGAGCACACTTAAAAATGCCTTTAGACATAATGCTTAGTGTTGCTTCTTATTATTTGAGAAATTGTACCTTAAAACTGTGAAATTCAAGGCCTAATTTTTTCAAGTTCTTTTTTTTTTTTTAGACACTCCTCGCATTAGCCAAAGTTGAGAGTGTCATTAAAGTAGTATGAATTACTATCGATTTTATCATCCTTTACTCCCACTGTTTCTATCTGATGACCAGCTTGGGAAGAATGTAAGTAAACACTGGGAACAAGCCCAGGCTACCAGTGTTTCCTCATTAACTACAGGGTCACTGTGGAATCACTGTATGTATTCATCCTTTGTCCCATGTATAAATATTGAAACTTCTGAATCCAGTGAAAGAGCTCTTAGAAAGTGTAACCAATTGAAAAAATTAGCCAAATCAAATATTTTTAGACATGTTTATGAACTCAGGGCTATTATAATCAGAGAAAGTGCTAGAAACAGTTAGTGGGCTCTTGCTTTCTATTGTCCTCTCTCTATTCTCTTGAAGCACTTCAATTTGGGCATTCATGTTGGAACTAGTTTCCATCATTGACCTCCTGCCATCTTCCCCAGAAACCAGTTCTTCTGTGTATGGGTTGGATCATTGTATCATTTCTCCTGATCTGTAGTTTATTATGTGCCCAATTTATCCATATGATTCTCTGCTTCTTAGTAAAACGCCCTTGAATTTTGAACACTCTTGTTCTGATTTAGATTTTGCTTAATGCCCCCTTCATCCTGCCCCCTCGATCCTCAATAAAATGCTAGGGAGGCATGATAATATAGGCCTTTTTTTTTTTCTGATTCTTCAGTTTGGCTCCATTAAGGTGACATATTCACACATTTAGCAAATTAGAACAATCAAAATGTTTATACAAGTTTTTCTGTGAATTTGAGCATCTCCCAACGTTTTAAGTTAGTAACCAAAAGCGAAGACAGCATGGGTAGTGTATAGGAAAAAACAGCTTTTCAAAATTTTGCATTGCATTACTTACTTTCATGAAATACCTACATTAGTTCTGGCTTTTGATAAGCAAGAGAAATCCAAAGATGGTGAAAAGCAAAAATAATATTCAGCATTTCTTTTTCAGTGAGCTGTTCTAGAAGTAGCATGTACCCCAAGGGTGGCATCCCATCTCCTTCCCTAGGAACTACATTATACATACTGTGTACTTCTATTATTTCTGTTCTTACTATATGTTAGTGTGATTTTAAGATTTTATGAATCATTTGGTATGAATAGATGGCTTTCTGGGGAGTCTGGGAATGCTCAAGAATTTTCCCATATGAATGAATGGTTTGGCTTCTTTGCTTTACACTGTTTTGGCTTACAAAAGTTTTCGTGAAAGGACTTTCTTTTGGAAGGTGGAGATAACCTGTATACTATACATTATTGGCTATGAAATATACTCAGGAGGCTGGGACTGATCATCCAGGGATGTAGTACTGACAGTGGACCTACCCTCACTTGTGCAGTCTTGGATATGTCATTTAACTTATCTGTACCAGGTTTGTCATCCCAAACTGAGAGTTAACTAGACTCCTGAAAATTCCTCCCTTCTATTACAGTCTATTTAGCCAATGAAATAGATCAAATTCCTCAATCTTTTGGTGGTTTAGAAAGTCTACATAGACTTAAGAAATCTGACAAATGACATCCTGGGATGAATTGAGTTGAAAAGTTGGCTAGAGTTGTCATTTCAGTTACTGTGTTTGGAAGTTACACTGACAAAGTCTATGAAAATACAAAATAAATTTAAAACTATTGGAAAATAGGTGACATCTACAAGCATGACAGGTTTTTCCATGTTGTTGTTTGCTGATTTCTTCCCAGGTCTTCAATTATCTCCAAACTGGAGGCCACTTGAGTGAGGTCAATGATGTACTATTCTCACTTTTACATTTTAATGTGCTTTGCTTGATTCTGTATCTTTCTCTTAAGATGACCTTAAGATGGTCTGCTTTAAGATGATCTTTCCCTTAAGGCTACCTCTGCTTTACTTATCTCTGATTATCGAAGAAAACTGAGACGTAGTCTGAAGTGGGGAGAGGTGATGGGGGGGGTGCTACTATTAATGGTTAGCTCTGTTAGGTGATCTCCATGCACTATATTAAGCTATGTTTGCATAATTAAGAAGGTGCTTTAAAGTGACTTTTCCTGAGCAAAGAAAGTCTAATGCATATTCTGATATACAGTTTTTAAAATTTGGGGGAGACCCTATCACAGTTTTTATTGTGATAAAAAAATACATAACATAATTTACCATCTTAACCATTTCTAAGTGTCTAGTGCAGTAGTGTTATGGCCCAGTGATGTGCACCAGAGATATAAAATTTTTCATCTTGTGACACTGGTCAATAAGATTTTTTACTTATAACCCTGTTTCTTTTTCAGTTAGCATCTCCTATCAGAGGCATTGGCTCATAGGACACTTAGAGTTGCGGTTTTCTGGAAGAGATAGGTTTAAGGACACAATATATAGTCTGTCTTGTGAGCCATAAAAATAAAGCGTTTTGTTGACCTGAAAAGAAAAATGGTAAAAAGTCAGAAGGCTTCCTTAGGGACAATTTCCTTTCAGAAATAGAAATATTGAATGAAAATTCATCAGAGGCTGATCCATTCCACTTTCCTGAGATGAAAAAGGAGGTCCCCCTCCCCTTTACTCTATATAATGTTATATTCTTTATGTTTTATAACATTATGAGATAGCTGAGTTATTCCAAAATCCTGGGAACTACCTTATAAAACATTTGAAGCAAGAAATCGTGTATGAAGGTTTGCACCAAAACTATCAGATGTTCAAACCTTGATTCTCTAAAGCTCCAGTGGGACATAGAGCTTTTCTTTCTTTTTTTCTTTTATTCTCTTTTATTCAACAATTTTAAGTTCATAAAAATCCAGGTTTTCCGTATTTGTTTGCTTCTAGTGCTTTTTATTTACACTTTGCTACATGAACTAAGGTTTGTGTTCAAGGTGTCCACTGTTTTTTGAAAAATGGAATTACTGAATTAATCATGAATCTGGAAAGAGTGGACTCTAGTCATCCCTAATAGTTGTAGGCTCTAGTTTATTATACTTCAAATCCATTCTTCTTGAATTGCTGGCTTATAATTTTGGGTTTCAAATTCATCTGTTTCAAATATTTCTCTTGTATGTTTGCCATGGTGAAATTTCTAGTTTTTCCTTCTCTATAATTACAGGTGGAGGCCACAGAAATGGAGCCCTTGTATCTTGGTGCCAGAGTCTGTCAGACAGGGAATAATGGGCACCAGCGAAGCTTGTGGAAAGGGGGTACAAACAAGAGGTAAGGAGATTTTAAAAGGTATTCTTCAGAAATATAATTTAAAATTAAGTTACTCTTATAGACAATACTTCATTTTTACATTTGAATAAGTTGTGATATTATTGGATAGAAATATTTATGTTAGTCTAAATTTGAGTTTTAGCTTGGTATTAGGTAATATTGGTATTAGATCATCTATTAAACATAACTGGCTACCTAAAGACTAATGCAATATAAGCAAATATCTCAGTCATCAGCACACACCAATGTTGATGTCCCAAATTCATGTTGGATATTAGCCAAGAGATGAAGCATATTTTAAGATCAGACTCAAAAGTATACAATTTACTTTTTCTGTGCTAATTAAATAGTTGTTGAATGATTTAGGAATAACTGAATAATTTGACTATTCTTAATAATCAAGACTTAAATGTAATTGTTTTATATATATATATATATATATATATACACACACACATATACTTGCTATGTCGTAGGTAGGTAGGTAGATAGATAAATGGATAATGTACATAGAGAATAATTATTAAAACTTGGGGGAGATATGAATAAGTTTCTGGACTTGAGAATTACTTTTATTATCAATGTCTTAAGTGTAATGAGATCTCTGAAAAACACTGAGAGACTCGTCAGACTGCCAACCTTCCTGTGTCACTCATACTCCAGGTGCCAATGGTATGAGGCTTGATAAGAAATACTTCCTGCTGAATATATGACCGCTTGGCTAAACGGATTGTATGTAGCAAAGCTAAACCATGTGGGACCAATTGCATTTTAGTGGCTTCATAATTCTTCTAAAAAAGCATATTTAGAATTAATTTTCTCTTTCCACTTTAGGTTATGGTGTTAGTCAGGATCATTTATCCCAGCTAGCATAGTAACTCTGTACTTTGCCTGTTGATTCAAAGGCAAGGGGACCAACATGTTTGTGTGGTAGTCTTAACTTCAGCTTCTTTCAAATCATTGTGTCTCCAAATGGAAATGTTCTTCCCTTTGACACTGAACCCTGGAGAACAGCAAAGACTTAGATTTAAGGGACAGGAAACAATAATTTTACTAGTGAGTTATTCAGAGTAATAGTAAGTTGTACCATTCACATTTTCCTCCTTGATATTATATATAACATACATTTATGCCAATTCAGAGTATATACTGACTGAAAAATCTGGTTCTGGCTGTGCAATGTATTGTAACCTCACTGGTGTTGTACCTGAGTCTTCGAAGGAATTTTTCACCATATTGTCAAGTCAGTTGCTTCAGGGTGGTGGGGAACTTGGCACATGGTGTCCCTCCATTTGCTGTTAAATGAGATCCTTGATTAGAAGCAAGTCTACTATGGTGGTTTTAGCAGAAGTGTTGCATGTAAGGAAGGCAAATCCATATCTGGAGTATTTATTTGGTAATTAAAACCTGGACACCTATAATTCAAGTGTTCCAATATAATCAACCTGCCACCAGGTAGCTGGCTTATCACTGGGGATTGGTGCCATATTTTGGACTCTGTTAATCCTGGCAAATTGCGTGTTCAGTATTAAGTGCGGTCAGGTCACTTTGTTGACTAGATTTCCATTTTGCTATATCCATGCAAAACCACCTTTCCTGCCACCATGGCTACTTTTTAAAAGTCCATTGGGTAATGGCAGATGTGACTGGGGAAAGAGGCTGGCTGGTTTACACATAATAGGTCATACTATCCATTTGATTATTAAACTTCTCTTTTGAGATCACCCTTTAGTGAACATTCACATGAGACACAGATATGCTCACAATTTTACCCATTCAGAGAGGCTATACACATGCCTCATACCTCAGTTTCCTTTTCATCAATTCCCAATAATGATCCCTGCAAGCACCTGACTATCCAACAAAACTTTTGGCCATAGCCCACGAATGTGTATGGAATCTCACATCTGGCCACTTCTTCCAAGCAAGGTGAACAACCACGTCTACTGCTTAAAGTTCTATCCTCTGGGAATTTTTTTCTTTGCTCTTCTTTTAGGAATGCCTCATAATAACCTATAGTGCCTCCTCTTGGGATTGTGCAAAGCTATATGTCAACCAGGCCTGAGTCTTCTCCACATGAGGCCATAGTACAGAATGGGAAAGAGAAGGCAGTAGAAAAGGGGTGAGAAACTTAAAGCATTTGGGCCATTAATTCATGTAATTTACTTGTATCTTCAGGTCCTGCATGGACCAGATCACTTTCATATACTTCCATGTGATGATGGACTGGTGCTGCACACACCCTACTTTATGATTTGGTGGATGAGATAACACACATTTATGACAGGCAGCTTAGATTGCATGGTGACTTGTTGGTCTATGGTTAAGTATTTAGTTTCTACCAAGACCTACTAGTAGACCAGAAGTTGTTTCTGAAAAGGAGAACAGTTACTTATGAAATAACAATGCTTTTCTATAAATCCCTAAGTGCTTGCACTGTGTTTCATCAGTAGTAACCATAAAAGCCTACCATTAACATCTCTGTCTAACACTGACACCATTTTACTCACTGGATCAGATGGTTTGGATGACACAACATCTTGTATAATAGCCTGGACCAATTGTAGAACCTTTAATTATTCTGGGTCCCACTCAAAACTAGCATCTTTTCAGTAATTCAATAAATGGGCAGGAATAACACAGCCAAATGATGAGTATATTGCATCCAAAATCCAAAGAGGCCTAGTAGGTGCTATGCCTAGTTGTAGGAGGGGCCAGCTACAACAACATCCTTACCTTAGAAGAAATACCGAAAAAACCCCTACACCACCGGACCTGTAGAAATTTCATTCAGGTAGAAAGCCCCTGAATTTTTCAAATTTATTTCTACCCTCTCACATGAAAACATTGTACTACTGAGTCTACAATACTTCACTCTCACTAGGTCCATTCCATGTACTATCACCATGCAATGGGCTGATGTGCGATCTTGTTGAAGGAAAAGATCAAGATCCATATAAACAAAATTATAAAATAGAGTTGGAGAGTTGATACCCTGAGGTGGGGCAGTGAATGTGTATTTCTGTTCTTGCCAGATGGAAACAAACTGCATCTTATGGTAGTTATTATATCAAATACAGTAATATTTAGAATTAGGACTTTAATATGGAACTCTAGGAGGATACAATTCAGCCCAAAACAATTATACTTTGGAAATTATTTCCCTGTCAGATAGTTTTACAGATGTGAATTTAATTAGCAATGTAGTCTAATTCAGGATTGCTCTGAGACTATATAAGATTCTCTGTAAATTACTAGAAGGGACTTCATTCAAATATTTTACTTACCCATTTCAGAAAATTTTTGTAACATCATCTTGTTATTAGAAGACTAAGGTCCACTTTGTCCTGTGAAATTGTTATTAAATATCTGAATCAACAATATCTCTGTGAATGAAGGCCTTTAAAAATAACAATTATAAATTTTTAATTGCAATTTTTGTGCAGTGGATAACTATATAAGGTAGCTTGGACTCTGACACTATACTATTATCATAGTGAGTAATTTTCTTTACAAAACCATTTAGTAAGTTCTATAGAGATTTTGTTCCTAATTTTCATAGCATTTTATAACATAAATGACAAATCATTTCATCTGTATGCAGATAATTCTACTTTGAATTTCAACTTAAATAATTTCTACCTGGGGTCTGATTCAGCTCTTACACTTGGCATGTAACCTGCTTGACTTTTCCCTGAATTAGACACCAACATTTACACAACAATGTTAGTGTTTAGTTGATGGAATATTAGATTGTGATTGCAATTTTAAAGTAGGATGAGTCTCCAGTTTTAAGGTAGTGCAGACATATCTTTTCTCTAATTACTTCAAAACCAGCAAAGAGAGTAAGAAACAGTACAACAAAACTCATCTCCAGTGATATCTTCTTTAAAAAATTGCTTTAAAGAACTAATAGTAGCAATAAGTTCGCATTCAAGTAAATTAGTCATCTACAAATTCAGTCCATGTATGATATAGAAAGTGTATGGAGAAATGGTAAGGGACTTTGCAGACCAGAATTATGTGTAAATGTTAGCAGGGATGAAGGTGTGAGGCATGAAGAAAAACAAGTTTCTGTTTCTAGACAGCTCCAAAAAGGCACCCGAATCTGCAGAAGGAAGTGTGCAAAGTTGTGCATGCATTTATATGTGAGAAGAGTAGTGATGAGGGACTATTCTGAAATCAGGAGGATCAAAGGAAAGTCTGAACAGGAATTATGAGCAGTTCCCTTTGCCACCTGCTTAGCATGCTGACCAGGCGGCTTTTATACTTTTCAGTACCAAGGAACCCTTAAGAATCTCGAATTACAATAAATTTAAATTTCTCTTTGAGGAATTTTTGAATCACAGAGGAAACATCAATTCAGGCCATAAAGTTATGGAAAGGCCAGCTTGGTGTTCCAAATTCTCATAAGAGATTTTTCTCCCGTACCATTCAGTGTTACGTTTTCCATGTGCATATGACCTTCCTGAGGTATTTTTGCTTGGCGTGTATACTTCTAGTTACCAGCCTTTGTGGCTTCATTCTAGTTTAGAACCTTTTATAAGATTCTTTACAGCAGCCCTCAGAATCCCCCCCACTCTGAAACCCCATGCATCACAAAGCCATGAAAGTAGAAATCAGGGTCTCCTAGATCTGATGGATACCTTTAGGATGAGAGTGTGTGTTTCCTTTCACTTACCTTGCATCCCAAGCCTTCACTTTGTCAGGATTTATAGCTTCCTTTTCTGTTAGCCAACCCAGCAATGCATTTAAAAGATATGTATTATCCAATACTTTGTTTTTCTTCATGTGAGTCTTCTCTTAAATTTTAAGCCATTATGTTGCACAAAATAGAAGTACTTTTTATCTTTCCGTGCTTATATTGCTCACCTGGTTAATTGCTATCTAGTAAGAACACATTAATGTAATAGTCTTCTGACCAAAAAGGAAGGGAAAAAGTGATAATAGAAAGAGAGATGGAATTAGAGTTGGTGCTAAATGTCTATACCTTCTCCAAG